ATCTGCTCCTCTAAAAGTACTTTATGCATATGTAATCTTCACTTGTTTGCAGTTAATAAACACATATATGTATGCGATTTAATCAGTACATCAACTGATAATATATTAATCCATACATCAACTGCAAACTGTTTTATAGTACAGTAAAGCAAAAATAAAGGTAGTTCATAGGAAATTATTACATTTTATGCAAAGGAAGGAGAAAAATTGTTAAATCATGTTCTAGCTATGTATCCAGAAAAATGAATACCTAGCCTCACTTACTCAACAAGCAACACCTAAAATAGAGTATTATATTACAGTCACAATATTGAGTCATCAGGTAGAGCATCAGTAGTTAAAATTGTCTCATTTTTCCTTCTGAGAAAGGAGAGAGCTGACTGATGTATAATGTTTGGTTTATGTCATATTTTAACTTTCATTTAGTTTCATCTTGATGTTTTTAATAAAAACCAAATGAATTTAGGCTGTGACTGAATTTTGTCTTAACAAAGAATTCCATTGATAGGTTTAAGACCTATCGTCAGAGCTTGGTAGAAAAGAGCGGCTCCCAGATATGCCCAGTGAGAGAGATACTTCCATATATGTGTGAGTGTGTATATGAACATACGTATGAAAATAAGAAAATACATCAGAATTATATATAAAAATACAGTGTAAGAATAAAGTCTTGGATTTGGGATTATTTTGAATCATTATAAGTGAAAGTTTATGTGCTTTGTGTGTAAGTCTCATTGGTTCATAGAGCCCAGGTGCAAATAAAATCTCCATCAGGAGCTGTAATTTTCTGTTATTTTATACTACAACAGAGAAGGGTCCATATGTAGCTGTTTTTTGTCTCCTATGTCTCCCATTTTTTTCCTTTTTCTTTTCAATCTCAACCACTAAGTAAGCATTAGGAAAATCTGAAACTAATGATTATGAAAATAAAAAGAAATTTAAACAGCAAAAGAAAACTTCCGTTACATAGTAGTTTCTTCACACACCTGACCAAACTCTTAAAATCATAGAAAGCAGATGTTAAATCATAAGCAAAATACAGCTTTTACTCTTCCTTTACGTTACAATTACCATGTAAACTTCAGTTCAACAACTTGCAGTATTTACAATCTTTGATACAGTGGCCCCTAAATAACCTTTGTGCTGATGAGTGGAGGAGCTGAGGGTATGTAGTATGCAGTTGCTTAACTCTATTTCTGTGAATTCTGTGAATTAACATCCACTGTATCTCCCAGCCCACTCAGAACAACTTCTTATTCAGTGACACTTTCAGTCTGACAGTCAAAATTCTGCTGGTTGATCTGTTTGTCCCTGGGTACCAGATCAGTGAGGCTGTCACTGCTTTGAAATTCTGTATCTCTCCATGCTTCTGTCTGGGAGGATTTAAGTTGTGCTTTGGAGTGCTGTGGGAGGATTTGTTAGTGAGAAGTGGTGGGTAGTTCCTGTCAGTATAGTGCTTTTCTGCTTTTGGTGATTGTTTTTTACAATACACTGAAAAAAATGTAGTGCTTTTACCATTTAACATATGGGTAGAAAATTTTTCTTGTTATAAATATTAAACTTGTAGTTGATTATTTTAACTGTGAAAAGCTGATTATCTCTCTTGTCACAGAGTTGTTCAGTTGGCATGTCAAATTTCATTCTTACTTTAAGAAAGAAGGCAATATCTTTGCTTTAGAGAATGTACATATAGAACAGTTTTACAGGAAATTAAATTTGCCTTGACTTCAGTTCTTCTATCCAAAACTGGTGCAGTAATGATGAGTAACAACTTCAGAATATTTTTGTGCCACCCTAAACCAAGTGTAGTTACTGTACTTACAGTGTTACTGATAATATACATAATACAGATTTTAGTATGACTGTATGTGTAAGTAGCTGCATATATTGTGGTCGGTGCCTGAATGTGTAACAGCTATGGCTTTTCTCATTGCATACTCATTTAAAGTTTGTACCTGCATGGTTTGGGGTTTTGATAATGGTTAGGGTAGGCAGTGGCCAAGAGTTTGGATATTCCCTTTGTGTTGGGTGCCTTGCTTGACACACCTGGTCTGGTCCCAGAGGTGTGGAAGGCTAGACAGTTCCTGAACCAACTTTTTCATTTAAATGGCCACCAGAGGTTGCTGCAGAACGGCAGATGCGGCTGGCAATAGATTTTTGAATTCAAAGCTGAATCCTGAATTAAGGAACAAATTGCACAGTTCAGGTTCTGACACGATTATATTCCTTTTAGATGGAGTTGAAGCAGAGAGTAACCATGACTTTTTATATATGTTTATTTTATTATAGAAAAATGTCCCGTGTGCCAGTATAATTGTGGGGACCAAAATGCATTGGCTCAGCATCCGTGTTTCTGTAACTTTGTGTGGAGGAGGTGCTTACAGTGAAAATTAATTTTTCAAGTGTGTACTTGGACAGTACATGAAACTTTGCTATGTTAAAAATGTAAAAATGTATTTTTAAGGAATTTTAAAAAATCAAATGCTATTCTTGATTATGTATTACTGATGTTTATATTTTTAATCAGCTCAAACATGTCTACATTATGGGAAAAATTAGCTTTATAATTATAGACATGTAACAATTCTTAAATGGTTCAGTATGTGTTAGAAACAAGAAAATTAAATCAAGAAGTAAACCTACAAACTATGGGGGGAAAATCACCTGAAAGTATATACTCAAGAGGAGAAATTGTAGGAATTGTGTGACATGTTTGTAACAATGTAACATCACACATAAATATATGCTATTTCTGTGGCAAAAGTACACCAGACTTTCTGACACACAGTATCAAGCACTTTCATTGTTTGTTTAGAATGTAGTAATACTTTAAGCACCTTTATTTTTAAACTTAATTTCTGTTTCTCTAAGTCTGTAAACACATCCTTATGTGAGTTAAAGTTATGTTTTTGTGTCTAGGACTTGCACACTCAATTATGCTAAGTGAATTACTGTGTTGGGAAAGCAATAGGAAAATGCACTTTCTGATTAAGCACAGTTTTTCCATATACTCCCTGACAAGAATGAAAGCTATATTTTTTCTAAATATCACATACCACTAATAAGTTCCTCTGTGTGTAAAACAAGTAGGATAGTGTGTGAAGAATTTAGCAGCAGTCTGTCAAAGCTGTGATATTACATTAAGTGAAAATCAAGTGCTTCATGCAGAATCAAGTCAAAGAAGTGCTCATAAAACCCTTAATGCCACATCATCATTTATGATGTATATGCAAAAAAAAGAAAAAAAAGAAAAAAAAGAAAAAAAAGGAAAAAAACATTTAAAGCCTATTTTATTCAAGAAGCTAGATGGACAGAGTTCAGATGGAGCTTTAGAAAACCAAGAAATGAGAAGTAATTTCTCCGTAATTAAAATTTAGCTACTGAGTCACTCTTAGATTGTCTTGGGGCTTAGAAGTTAGTGGCTGATTGCATTTGGAAAGGGACTATTCCTTTCTTGGTGTTATGGTCTGCTACCCGTACTACAGGGCTGCAAACCAGAAAGTCTGCTGACATTCAGCCTACAAAGAATGTCACACAAGAAGCAGTGTCCATGTGAAACTTGAGAATGTGTGGTTTCTGAGGATGGAAAATCTATAGAAAGGTGTTAGGAACAGGACCACTTTTCTCATTCCTTCTTGAGATACAACAGTGGGATTTGGAAAATGGTTGTAATTCCTTGGATAGATAACTATTTATGGAAGTTTGCTCTTAATTGTGGTTTGTGGGTTTTAAAGAGTTGGGCTGGAGCTCAGAGATATTTTGTTCAAGGGCAAGAGGTCTTAGCCTTGTCTTAAGCACTCATGCAGGGAACACTCATACTCTGGTTTCCAGGTATGGCAGTCAAGGGACGGGGTGGCATATATTTGGTTAGATTTTTTTAGTTTGAAAGTCAAATACCTTTCTCTTTAAAAATTTGAGGGCAAGAATTGCTAGGACATCATTTTCGGTAGAATAGAAACCACAATTTTTTGTGGTTTCATATACATCATATAAAAGACCACGTCGATTCTAGAAGGAGAGCTCTTCAGAATTTAAGCTACACACGTATCAAAAAGAAGTCCTGGCATCTGTGTTCATGGGCTGTTAACTTACGATTTCTAAAGACATGGCAAATGTTTTGTATCAAGTATCTCAAAATAAAATTAGATATTTCCAGAAAGAGTTCTGTGAATGTGTAACAGTTGTTTCAGGGTGTAACCAGACAGGTAATAATCCCAGTAATTCATCTCTTCATTTCACATTCAAAATTTTAGGTATTTCTGAGTATTCTAAGTATCTCTAAATAACCTAAGATAAATAAGATAAAAATCAAAGTTTTGATGTGTAGATATATAAAATTATATATGTATGTACATGTATATTTCACATTGAAATATTTTGCACAGAAATGTGTGCTAGCTGTGCCATTGACTGCATACAACTGCATTTTATACACTGGTAGAATTTTCTTAGTTATGTGCATTCTTGAGTAACATGCTTTTCTTTTAGCTAGCTAATTAACAGCCACTTTTGCCTATTTTTAAGGTAATAGTAGCAAAGCTTCCCTTAGATGAAGGTATGAGACCTTTTAGCAAGTATTCTGCTGAGAAATCAGTAAATGTTTTCATTAGCTGTTGCTTTATCCTTCAGATCAAGCCTTGGCAATGAACTGAAGGACTTCCAGCAAAGAAACTTAGCATGTTGAAAAACCTACCTAATATAGATGAATGTGTGCACTCCATGCTTCAGTTATCTAGGAGAACTGCTGTTACTGGGAAAGATTAAGTCTAATTAATCTGCAAAGATGCTAAATCTCAAGTCCAGGAAGACAGAACCAAATAGTTAGGTTAGATTAGATCAAGCAGCAGAAGTCGACCTTTGAGGAGGAAATTGAGCTAATTTTTGTATTTTGAAGTAGAAGATAATAAAATTGAATAAAAATGTTCTTGGAAGAATGCTTGTATGTCTTTACATGTGATGGTCCATATTTCTATGCCTTATGTTATTTCCCTTGCCCACAGGAAATTCATCTTTCTTTTCTGAAATGGCTTGAGGGAAATGTAGATGCTGAAGGATTAAGAGCATCCAGCAAGGTGTCTCTTAAATTTGTTTCATCCTCTGAATCAAAAATGGAGATAACTCCATCTCTCATGCCAGTCATCACTGAGATGGGAAGCTTCTCATCAGAACATTTCAGCCTGAAGACATATCAACAGAATCTTCAATCAAAGAAGCTTGGAAAGATTCTTCTTTTTGCTGAAGTTACCACAACAACAATGAATCTTCTAGATGGGTAAGATAGTGATCTAGACCATACAAAATAAGCTTTCTAATCTGGAATTCACAATTATAGTAACACACAGTATTCAGAAAGAAGCTTTTTTTTCATTTTGGCTTATTTGTTGCCTACAAGCTAGCCGAAGTAAAAAAAAAAAAACAACAAAAAACAAAACCCAACCAACTGATTATCTTGTAGATAGGACACAAAATAGAGATCTTTGTGTTCACAGAATATTAACTGATAATTTATAAAATATTAAGCCATAAAGGGTGAGAAAATATGAGTGTGACAGCTTTTTACTTGGCAGTGGAGTTTGATCATTATTCCTCTTGCGAAGCATGAATGTCACCATAGGACAATTTAAGGTATTAAATATGGGTATTTAAGAGATCATATGCATTTTCCAGTACAAGTTTTTTTTCTAAGCTAGTTCTTTGACAAAAGTAATACCAAGTAGATTGTGGCCTTAATTTTAACATTACTGTTTTCTCTCACTCCTTTTACTGAATATTTCACAAAAATGCTCTTTAGTGGTTTGTTTGGGGTTTTTTTTAAACATTGATTAGGGTTATGCTAGACATTCTTTCATCATCACATAGATGACCCTTGTGAATGAGTTGTGGGATACCTTTAAGAAGGTAGCTTATTAGAGTTTTGAATGGGATTAAGCGATATGAAAATCACAGTTACTAAATCTTAGGTAGGAGTCAATGTACAAAGACTATACTGTTATGTTTCATGAAATAGTCTGATGGAAAAAACTGTCTCTGGGAAGTTGTTGCTCTTCAGGACAGATTATTCTCTGTGTATTTCTACCTGCAGCTATAACTTTTCTTGGCAGCTACTCTTGAGTATCAGTGTTAATATATCTGCAGAAATTGCAGATGAATTTTGCTATTACTGTTGAAAATAAGCTAAGGAATTTTGTTTCAGATTTTTTTTTTTTAATCAACATCATCAGTTAAATCATCTTGAATGTTATTGTAACTGATTAGTTAGCCAGCAATAATAGCTTTGGTTCTCAGCTAGAGAGCCCAAACTGTGGGACCAATATGAGTTACAGAATACGCCTTCTTGCAAGTAATAAAGATGATTTGGTTTAGAATATACGCATGCAAAATCTGCAGATGAGGATGCATTCTAACAGTACTAAAGGAAATCAGTTTGTAGTCTTACAGCTGACACTGATAGAATTTATAAATGATAATTTGTGCTAAAAATATTGCAATTTAGAGATAGTTGGAATCAAATACAAATTTCTTTTAATTCCAAACTATTCTCTGTGTGTGCATATATACTCATGTGCACACACATTAAAAAAATGTTGCTGATTTTACCTCTACCCTTCTCCCAGATCTACATCCTCATCCTGCAACTGATTTTGCAGTGGCTTTTGGACATAGACAGACGTGCTAGTTTGATAAGAGGCCACAAAGGAAAGAGTTATTTTATAGAAGCATTTTTACCATTTGCTACTTAATTTTTAGTATTCACAGCATGTTCAGTAGGATGGATTGAAAGCAGAAGCACTGTGAAGAAACGGACAAAGTGATAATTTAATAGGTTAAGACCTTTCTTCTCTGACAGTTGTTTTTGGTGGTTCTCAGTAACATTATTCATACATCTCAGTAAGATGAAGTATATAATTCAGACTTGTGTGAATTTACTTTGATATTACAAGCTAAATAGATTCATGTCTGGACAATTTATATATTATTATATTACCAAGAAAGGCAGGGGAGCTAAGAGAAGTGGTCTTGGTTTTTCAATCACTGTGGAACCTTTACTCTCTTATCTTTAAAGCTGTACCAGCAGAGTGGTCAGCACTCGGGTTGCTTTTTCACATTAAGTAGTCCAAATGTTTATATATGTAGGTCTTCAAGATTTTTGCCATCATGATGCAGCTCGAGTAGTCGGTTTTCATGTAAGGTGTAAACTGGCGGTCCTGGCCTTAAATATCTTATACTGGGAAGATGATCCTAGTCAGATTATAATTTGAACAATTAAATTTATCTTACAGAGTGACCTTGGTTTTAATAAGTTAAAATATTTGTCTTAAGTATTATAGTTGATGTTACTGTAAATACTTTGTTGTCATGGATAGTAGAATAATGTAGTCCATGTGGTTTGAAATTCAGCAAAGTACCTTGAAACTTCACAGATGACAGCATTTCATAAATCACTAGAAAGTGATACAAATACGTATTTGGTAATTATTATTGAAGAAAAAGGTTGTCAGGTTTTTAACGTACTTCCAAATGAACCAATATAAATTTGTTAAGTTGTGCGCATGACACTTTTTTCTAATTGCCAATTCTGAATGAAAGGAAAGCATGTCTCAGGGAAAAAGATTTTCTTTGCTTGAACAAAAAACATGCACTTACTGATCATTCATGATTCCCAGAAAAAAAATGCAATACCATGTTTATGTAACCATATATTGGAATAAGCACTTGTTACATGACAGACTCTCTTAGGGTCTTTCAAATTTTGCTGTTTGTGATGATTGAAAATATGATACAGACACCCCAAGAACTGGTGTGATTAGTTGTAAATTTAGTTAGTAAATTATAAATCAGCATTTAACTTTCATGACTTCAGATTTTGTTATACTTTTCCCACCAACTGAATGTCAAACTTCTGTCTCTCTTCCTTTCCACTTCCCCAAACCTTCATACCCCCCAAAAATTAAGAAGTGGAAGGAGAAAGTGGGCTGGAACTAATTTAATGGCTGAGCAACCTCACAGCAGAGAAACAGCCGGAGCCTAATAGGGGTCTTTGTCTGCATTTCCACCCTGGCTGGTAACGTGCCAGTCAAAAGTCAAGCAAGAGAAACAGGTGGAAACTATTAGACATGTCATAAAGTTTGAAAAATTGATTCTGGAGGCTAAGTGAATAGATTGAACTTGACAGTGTTGTCCTAAAGATTCTAAGGGAAAATTCTGTAGTTTAATTTGGGATCCCTTGATTGTTCATTAGCTCTCCAGATGGCAGGTCTTGCTGGTTTGCATATTAGCATACCCACTCTGTTATCACTGGTGTACATTTATGTGTCCTAAGGTAACAAATTGGAAATGTGAATTCACCCGTGGGTATCTAAAATTAAATGGCATTAGTGTAATTGTAAAATAAAGATTTGTTTAAATGTCATGTAGTTTTAAATGACCAATATTTTTTTAAGGTTTTGTGTTGGAAGCTTTTAATTTGAATCATTTGAGGCTATTTTCAAAAGCATTTCCATTTTTACTTCTTAAGATAAATTTAAAATCCTTACCAGAGATTAGAGGCTCCCTTGTTTTTTGTCTGAAAGGAAATTATTTCTGAAAGTTTCACTTCAGAAATTTTGGTGATATATATCCTAATGCCACCTGAAGAGATTATCCTTGATAGAAACAGTTGTTCTTTTTCTGTCTCCTCTCCTCAGACCATGCCTCAGATTGCATGATATAAGATGAAATCGTTATTTTTTGAGGATTCATCTAGTATAGGGATACAAATGTTATATTGCAGAGACATACTTATTAGACTCACAAGACTTGAGATTGATAAAGAAATATTTCTAGCACACTCTAATTGGCTGGAATGGTTTAACAAGCACTTCATTAAAAAATAAATTAATTAGATACACATTTCAGTTCTATTCTTCACTGGCACCTTATATCCTGTTTTAATGTTTTAGTTGGCAGAAGTTTTGATTTGTATGTGATTAAGCCAGTATGTGATATATTCTATATGAAATGCCATTGTGGATCCCTTTTCCCCAGTATTTAAGCCGCACAAAGTGTCGCTGTTAGAAAGAGTCTGACACAAAAATTGTGAATTTTAGTGCTAATGCAGGTATGAGTTAGCAAAGAGTAGCTTCATACAGTTGAAGGAGCTTGGAATGGCACTTCAGAGGCACAAGCAAACAAGTTGAGATTGACAAACAGTATTTTGTACTTAGTGATTTTTTTTATTTTTTTTTTTTTTTCAAAAACCTTGTGATGTTTTACTCTACGTAAACACAGTGGCCTGGTGTTTAGTCATTCCGCGCACCTCAGTGATCTCCCTTATTCTCTGTTTAAACCACATTTGTTAAAATCAAATAAGCTGTGGGGAGTGGGTTGAAATGTCATTTGAAGATAGAAACTTGGCATTAACGTAGCCTTTGCAAAATATGCCATACAGTCAGAGTGCTTATTTTCATTCCATCATCATGTGTACCTGTTTAAAGCCTCCCATCTCAGATACTTGCCTCAGAATTCTACTAGGACTGTAATTACAGAGTCAGAATTACTCTTCTTACAACTGCTGGTTCAACTTGATATTTTCTTAAAAGCTGTTAAAATTGTTTACTGCTTTTAATACTATTTTAGCTAGCTGTGTCTCATAATCTAGGCTCAGGTGGGTGGAGGAAGCCATTTTCCTGTTAATAGCCAAAACCAGCCGCAAGCTGCGTCACTGACCTTGTGGTTTCCTCTCTTGAAGATGTATGGGTTGTTGGAGTACAAAATCTTCCGAGAGTAATCTTTGTCTTTTAGCATAGTGAGACTATCCTAGTATGTTAATAGTCTGCTATAAATAAATGTTTTATCACCAACATTAAGTTTGTAAAAATTAACCCCCTACACCCTTCTTCCTCAAGAATGCATGCTGGAGTGGTGGGCAGGAAGGATGCCTTTCAGGAAGTAGGCATTGCTCTTGGATATTTAAAAAATGTGTGCTGACAAAGTGGTCAGTTGCATTTAAATGGTGTATGCATTTTATACATAATATTTTCTACAGTTACATGACCAAAAGTATTTTATCAGTTTAGATACTTCTTTGTGCAGAGAGCTCTCACAGTAGTTCATATTGCTTTTAAAAGCTTAAGTCCCTTAGTTTTGTTTGTTTATTAAAATGTAGAGTGACATAGGAATTCTTTGCTTGATGAAGGTCTGACCTAAAAAATAAAGTTAGATACAAGTGGTGATAGACCCGCTTTTTAAGGAATTTTATGCTTTTAATCTACATCACCCCCATTTAACTTAGCC